AGTATCACTTTAGAGCAATATTCTAATTTCCGGAGATCACCTGTTCTTTTGCTGTGAGTATTTAGGACACCATCTTCCTGGGCCAGGATTTCAGTACCCAAAGATTTGAGGAATCCTTTACCATCCAATTTTGGAGCACTACGACCAGTAATGTTTAGGATTTCTTTGAGTTTTTCGTATGACTTAGAAGCTAACTCCCCGCAACTTAATTTCAGATCGTTCTTTCCGAGAAAGGCATTCCTAAGTAACGGAGTCCAAACATATGCATTAAGCTCGCTTTCAGACATGGAATGTAGTAGAATATCATTCTTGTATAAAAAGAAAAAATGATCGAAGAGGGTCCGCACGAAAATAAGATCGTTCGATGCGATGGACATATCGATCGGATTTTCATTTAGACATCTTGCCAGAGACTCCAAATCCCCATGTCATGGAACTTCTCCAAGAATTGCAATACTTCTTCCTCACAATCCACCACAAACTTATCGATGCATTGTTTGGTAGCAAAACAGACAGCCTTGATCTTGGAGTCTTGAAGCTGGTTGGCAATAAAGCTTTTAAAGTCATCAGGTAAAAACTTGGTGCAGTCGGGATTATGGATGTTAATAACACCAATACATAGAGGGCTTTTTGTGGTCTTATCCTTATTCATGTTTGGGCGAATAAAATCTAACACGTCTACACCATTGTATATCAACTTCTTGCCCGCCAAAATACACATTTGATATTTCTTGAGGACTTCCTCCGCTATATCGCGAGTTATGTATGGTCTTCTAGTTTTCCGACTCTCAACCTCCGCTTCCTTTGTTGATATTAAAGATGTATCCAATTCGGCTGTCTGGTCTGGATTCCTCTCAAGCTCGGCAGAAGTTTCAAGAAAGATGTTCGTAAGAGAAACAGGTACAATTTCAGAGTCAGAGCCTGAGGAATGAATCACTATCGCATCCCTGTCTCATTCGTTGAGGAGTCTCCGCATTGATTGTTCTGATCTATGCATTTAAAAAGTAGTCGAATGGTTAGAATACGTTTTGCTAACTAAATTTAAGTCGTATACTGACCTTATTTGGTGGTGTTGAAGGTAATTCTTCCTCGTAAGATCGTTTTTGTCCAGTTACAGGTTCCGAATTCTCAATATGTGATACATCCGTCTTACCCAACAAGTGTTGTTTAATGACTGTTCTTTGTAATGTGAGATTTTGGGACAGTGTTTCTTTTGTTGCATCCAATATATGTTGCGTCTATAAATGAACCTTTCAGTATACAAACATTAAGAACAAGTGTCAAGCCAACATGCTAACCTGTTTGATACTGATTTGATCTTTCAGATCGTTTAGTTTGCTCTTATCATCCAAATATTGTTAGGTTTTATAAAACAAAAAGCCATTAAAATTTTTCGAATATACCATAAGAAAACTTACTCGATGTAGATGTGCCTTTTTCTCGTATAACTTGATCTCAGTGTGAATATTTTGGTGTAAATTCCAGAAAAGATTTACTTCTTCAGAGCTTTTATCTATCTAATATAGTATAAGGATAATTAATAAAGAAAAATATGTAACCAGCTTGTTTGAGAGGTTAACCGCCTGCCACCAACAGAACCGCGCTCTTTCCCACTGTCAAACAGCGCTTGACAGGGTAGTTGATGGTCATATTGTCTACTGAGCCCTTACATACAATTTACTGCATGCTCACCAACAGAACTGCGCTCTTTCCCACTGCCAAACAGCGCTTGACAAGGTAGTTGGTGACGGAACAGTGCAACACAGTCAGGCGCAGAACAATAAATAAAATCAAACTTTCCATAAAATTTTTTTTCCATTCTAGTACTTTCTGCACGATTTCGGGTGATTCAGCACAGTGTTTTGCGATAGTATTTAGTTCCATTATGTAACTATGGTGTTCTGTTTCTAAATTATTGATATCACCTTCGTGTAATCGAAACTCTAAATATTTTACGAGAGAAGGTTTCTTCACGCTCTCCCAGAAAGCTACATATAATATTCACAAGCAGGTTATACTAAAATGCATTGTTATAAGAAAAAATGTGCATAGTTTGCCTTACCAGGATATTTCAAAGCACCAAGGCATTCGGGTGACAAGTCCATTTTGCTTATGAACGCGATACTAATACCGCGCGAACCGGCCATAAAAAAAAAAATCATGATCACATGGGGGTTTATCACGTGGTTAGACTTTTGAACATTCCCCCCCGTGCAATACACATTTGATGTCCAAAGCGGGCTTTCATTTGATTGGATGATCGATGAAATGTATCACAACATACTGTCTGTCTATCAAGCAAAAGTTTCGTTTTTGATACACCAGGAGTTCCGTTTTTGATAGATCGGCAAGCACCCCAAATTTTGTTTCCTTTT